CTTTTGGAACAGATGGAGATTGAGGATTTGAGACTGGAATTTGTTGTTTTATTTCGTCGTCATTAATAGATGAAGAAGTAACCGAAGATGAATAAGAATTATTTTTTGATAATGCCGAATCGTCAGATGAGTCGGAAGTTACAGAAGACATAGAATCACGATGAGGATGAAGATGTGAATAGGATGTTGGTGATAAAAAAGTTGAACGAGGTTGAGACCGTTGTTGTGTAGGATTAGAAACATTACCATTAAGTTTTAAAGGAATTTGTTGTGATGATGACAAAACCGGTTGACCATTTTTACCAGAACCTTCAGTAGAGTTAAATTTGGACTGTTCAACAGTAATGGTAGAAGGTTCATTTGAATCACCACGATAACGACGAAGACGACGTGGTGAGGTTTTATTATAAACTTCAGCTTCTTTTAAAGTTTCAGAAGATTGAATCGAGGAATTATAAGGTCCTTGACGAATATGGAGTGGAAGAGAATCCAAATCAAATTCATCATCTTCTTCCTCTTCTTCCTCCTCTTCAACAATAGCATCCAAATCAGATTTCGACGAGGCATGTTGAGTTTCATTGGTAATTTCATCATCATAATCTTCATTAATATAATTTGGAACTTCATGGTCATGTTTAGCATTACGGCCAACTAGGTTCAAATTGCCTTGTGGAAGTCCGATTTCATCATCATCATCATCAATCTCAATTTCCGAATCAACTTGATTGTTAGATATATTATTATTATTATGATCAAAGAATTCATCAGTTTCACTTTCATCCGAATCTTCCATTATAACATCTTTAACGGCAGCTTCCCTTTTTGCGTATTGAAGGTCACGCTTACCAGCGATTCCTATCTGTCTAGATGAAAAAGGTGATAAATTAGGATTCATAGGTTTATTTAAAGTTCTAGAATGAGGTCTAATAGGTTCTATGATTTTGGGTATTGATTGAGAAGTAACTTTTAAATCATCACAATTTTCAACATCAGAATCTCTAACTTTAGTGGTTTTACCAACGGAAGGGGGAGATGTGGATTTTTGGACAAGGGAAGATTGAACATCGGGTTTAGAAGAAGGGTTAGTAAATGGGGATAAATTAGGGGATGGAGTAGGAGAAGGTGAAGGGGGATTAGGAGAATCACCACGAATACGTTGAATATTGTTAGAGATAGCAGACAATATTTTAGAAGTTGAATCAGAAGAAGCTAATTGTTCACGTAGTGAAGAATTGTCACGTTGAAATTGTTCAAGACGATCGGATAAAGCTTTAATAATATCGGCAGCATTCTGTAATTCAAGTTCTTTCTCATTTAACATTTCATCACGTTCATTTAACATTTTATTACGCTCATCCAGGAGACGTTGTAATCTTCGGTTTTCTTCATCTATTAATGACGACGAAATAAAACAACAAATTCCAGTCTCAAATCCTCAATCTCCATCTGTTCCAAAAG